CCGAGCGGAGCTGCCTGCTGCGAGAACTGCACCGCTTCGAGTCCATCGCCATCGCCCAAGGTGAGCGGCGACTCCCTCAGACCCCGGCTCGGGCCGGCGGGGCCGCGCTGAGGGCGGGGCGGGGGCGGCCCCGCGGTGGCAGGCGGGGGTGGGGGGGGCCGGGAGGGGGCTGCGGCGGGGCCCCCCCCCCTTGCCCAAGCCAATGCTTTGGGGCGGCGCGGGAGGATAAAGTCAGCCGCGGCCGAGGGAGTAGGAAACTCCAGCAGGACAAGGCATCGAGAGGCGTGTGCCAGTGTGTTTTAGTGTAATCAGGAATAAATAAGGCATACAACCTGAAATTTAGTTTCCAGAAGCATCTTCAGCACCTTCAGAACTTAAAACGACCCAGCACGCGAAATCCTCGGTGTGCTTGTCATCTCGCAAGGAGTTTCGGAGAGGCGCGGGTGGCCATTTTTTGGAATGGGAGTAGGAAAGCGTCTCTCATAAAATCGTCTTGACACTAGTACAGCAGTAAATTAATTTCAGACCTCTTAAGAGGCGCTGGGCTGCTGCTACTCCGGGAGCTCATTCATGAATTACGCTTCCCTGCACAGAGAGCTGCCTGCTTGCCGGCACGGCTTCTTGGAAGTGTTGGTTCTTATGCGGGAAGGTGTGTATGTGCTGGGGAGGTATATAGATTTATCTCTGAATATACTGTGGTGCTATGCAACACCAATTAAAATAATTCACGGTGATTTTTTTGTCAGATCCAACTGTTCTTGTCAACTTGACACTTTTGCTTAAACAAATCAAAAACCTGGCAAAACCAAATCCTCTTAATTCCAACCTCGCTACTTCTGGTTCTGATGTTTAGCTGTAATTTACGATCCTTATTACAATGAAGAAGATAACAGGTACTTAAGAGATCAGTGTGCATTTGGTCTAGGCCTTTTTGTGACTTTGATAGTAGCGTGCCCTTGGAAAGGGCATTTCTGTGCCTTGTGGCTCTTCTGTACACATCTGGAAGAAATCTGATGGTGGGCAGAGAACAGGTCCACGGGTCAGCCACAGAAATGCTGCTTTTGTGAAGAGACAGAACCTTTTCAGGTACCTCTTTGGTTTTGTTTATAGCACACTTGCATATAAACACTAGTGTTTCTAGTCAGAGCCAGAGTAGTTCACTTAAATTTTAGGAGCAGTGCTGCTGTTTTGCAGAGTGTGAATTGGTTGTATTTGTTTTCCAACATAGTGGGAGGTATGCTTTGAGCTGTAAGTTGACACTAACTTTTGAATACTAACAACTAATACTCTTCCTAAATAAATCCTCCTCAGCTTCTGAAGGGTCCTTGCCATGAGGTTTTTGTGTGAGTTTCTATCTCGGCAGTTATTGCTCAGGTGAAACTGGGTTGCTCGCAGTCCTCCTGTGTACCTGGAGGATCATGTGGTGGATTTTAAAATGCATTTCAGTGTAATGTCTCAGGTTTGTACAGAGATAATTCAGCAATATCTTGTTGCTCAGTTATTGTTAGCTATAGTATGAAAGTCCATTTCTATAAAATACTATGCCTTTCTAATGATTCAGGATTTAGAAGACAGAGTAAAAAAAGCATGAGTTTGAGTTTAGAGACTTTACTGCATGGGACCTTATTAGTAAACTGCAAACTTACTCCACTAGTGGAAATTGCAGTTCACTTGTGCCTGAAACTGTGAGTATTAATCTCACTGGAGAGATCATTTCAACAAAACCTCAGTTGCGGGCTTCGTAGTCTCACAGGTAAGGGCTGCACAAAGTGTTGTAATGCCATCAGACCTCGGTCCTTGGAGTCAGATTCTTGATCTGCCCATCTAGTAGCTTGATAAGACTTTTATGAAAGTAACCTTTTCCTTTAGCCAGCTCCATTCATGTTTGTTTGTTTTTTTTTTACCAGACTGCAGCATGATAACAGCTGTCAGCTGTTAACTCTAAGAAACTCTATTTCTTTATGTGTTGTGGAAAAAGAAAAATCATAACCGAGAAGGGCTTCTAGTAAGTCTGTTGAATAAAAATTAGAGAAAAAAAATCTTAAAACCATAGTGCGTACCTTGTGTACATTCCTTGATATTCTAGGGAACTAAAATCACATGAACGAGAGAGGAAATGTAGCACAGAAATCATTCAATGCTAGCAAAATAAGTGCTCTGCTTTCATTAGATACACCCACCATAGCACTGGATCCTCCTTGGTGTGCACATGTGCAAGCTGCTCTGGGCTGAGGAAGGGAACGGTAATGCCAGAAGTCCCTGGGGGGATGGATTGCCCATAGCTGTTTTCTGTAGAGGCTTGATATTGACAGAATTCAGATTTTACATGAAGAAAGGCAGTGAATGTAGAGCCAGGGTCTTGAGGAGTGTCGGATGTGTATCATCGCTTGTTGTGGTTTAGCCGAAACCAGGACATCACTCTCAACACCAAGGAGTGCCAGAAGAAGACAAAGTGAATAGGACGACTGCACTGGAAAGAAAATCATATGATTTCTGGGCTAGATGTTGATATTCTGTACTTCACATGCTTTATTATGGTTAGATAATATTTTGTATGTTTGCCCTTTCCTCCTGTTGAAATGGTGACTGTATGGGAATGATGTAACTAGGTACACAGGTTGTGATTGTGAGTAGGAGATGGGGGGTGAGAGGTATTTGTGCCCTGATTTCCAAGTACTTTCTCCAATCTACTAGTGTCACTTTTGATTTTTACAGCTGATGAGTTCAATCAAGATAAAGTGTTTTTGGAGATACTGAATTTCTTCTCGATCTTCTCATTCAGTGGCAGCGTGCTGTAGCTCCCAGTAGCTGATTCTTTAGATGAGATCGCTAATTTTACTCATGTTGATTTCCAATGAAAGTGATCCAAATGCAGCCTTCAAATTCACTTGTCTACCGCTGAGTAAATTCCTGTGTCCTGTTTTGACTCTGGAAAATCGGTCTCTCCTCAATCATGAAATGCCTATGCAGTTTTGCCACTGTGCTTGAGCTTGTTTCGTGCCTGTGATCTTTTCATACTTCTATATGGAAAGGGAGGTCTTAGTCCATACCCTTCTTAACACAGTCCTTATTGGGTTAAGTTTTGACCTTCTTCCTTCACTACCTCTTCTGTGCCCTAACAGACCCCATATCAGCTAGGGGAAGCTGTCAGCAATATGGGGAGACCTGGGCACATCAAGAACCAAATGGGGCCTGTTCCTCAGCCCATTCCCAGGCCTACCACCAGAAGGATGCAGTTCCATCAACTAATTGCCCTAGCGCGAAATATGACAGGACACACTATCTGTGGCCTCCGCTAATGGCAGAGGCTACAGGGAAACCCATCCTTTGCTGTGGCTGCTACGCTGAAGGACGGTCCTCAGGTAGGTGAGTCGTAGCCGTTGACCTGTAAGTTAGGTGAGTCTCTGAAGCGTTTTTGAAACTTAACACATCTGTTTGCGCTGTAGTCACAAAAGCTGTAGGTGGGGAAAGGTTTGTGATGGGGTAGTTTGGAATGTATTCCTGCCATCACTATGTCACCTGTCTTACCTGGACATTTATGTCTGGACACTTAGAGCTTCCAGATGACGAGCACTAGCAGTTGGTTTAAACAGTTTAGCTTCCGGAAAGCTGTTGAAACTTGACATTATTAATAAACACTGAGATTCTTCTGTTTGTTCTAGTGCTTCAGTCAGAAGACAGAGCTCTATCTGGGAGCTTGTGACAAAGGACGGCTGTAAAGCTGTGCTTGCTTGCCTGGGAGCCTGAGTTGAAATAATAGATGGGTTTTGATAGGAGAAGCTGTGGGGAAGGCTATGAAATTGAATCTTGATGGAATTGTTCTCGGGAGATATTTTGAGAACTGTCCTGTTTTAGACTATAATCTGTATCTTGCTAACTATCTTAAAGTTTAGTCAAAACATCACTAAGTTGCTCTTTTTAAAGAAAGCTGCAAGACCTTCCCACCTGGGTTTAGTTTTCCTTCTTCATCCCTTTCTTTTTTTCCTTTCCAGTCTTGGAAAGGTGAATAAGGTCTCACATTTTCCCAAGAAGAGGTTTGAAACAGAGTTTTTAAATTTCAGCTTGTGTTTCTTGTAAGCATGTCAGCCATACCAGATGGAGATGATGCGTGTGGACTTGAATACAAATATTGTATTTTTCTTTCTCATAGTTACAGAAATACTGAAGTATCAAGTAGGCCAATTCATTTTAAGTGTAATAGTTCTGCTTTTCTATTTGTGGAAGTGGTGCCCCATAATCAAGACTTAGTTTAGTTGGCAACAGACAGTCAAATCCTCCTTCGTGTTGCTCCTTTCTTGCATGGGGGAGATGATAGTGTAAAAATATTACTGGCAACGCAGAGAATGAGTTAATGCCTCTGACCTTCTATAGCAATTTTCCATTATAAAAGAGTGGTATTAGAAAGGAGATGTAACTTCTTTCTCAAGGGACTTATATGCAGGTTTTCTACCTTTAGTTTCCACCGTAATGATTCATGAAGGCACCTCTAAGCACTGCAGCAAGCCCAGTAACAAGGAGGAAAAAGACTAAAGGGTTTGACTTGCTTAGATAAGAAATACTAAACTTGGCATGTCTGCTGTATCTTTATTTCTTCTAAGGGTACTGTTGTTCTTACCTGTGCTGGGTTAAATATTCTTGAGCCCAGATGTAACCATTTTCCATTAATAATACTAACACAATGGCTCTCTAGGGCCTCTAAGAAATCTCAGGTCTTGGTAGTGAGAGAATCCGTTATTTTCCCATGTTTTGTTGCAAAGATGGGAAAACAATTCTTGTTTTCCCATATTTATGTAAATATACATGAAATATATATACAATATATATCTGCAAAGATGGGAAAACAATTCTTGTTTTCCCATATTTATGTACATATACATGAAATATATATACAGTATTTATCTTTGTATAATAATATATAATATATATATTTTTAATAGATAATGTATGTACATTGAACACAATTCCTTGAAAGCAGCAAGTTGCATTTTATATTTTAAATGGAAGGCTTTTGTGATGTGATCACTAAATAAAAGACCTTCTGAAGTGTAATTGCTTGTTTCACTGCCTGTTGAGGTTGTGTATTAACTGGAAAACATGCAAAAACCCGGTAGCAATGCAGTCTTGACAGCTAGTTTTGCTGGTTTAATTTGCAGGTCTTGGAGAATGCAGTCTCTAAGCTAGATTATCTTTGAAGGCACTGGCACGTCCTACCGTACATGGTTTAATAAATAATCTGACCAAACTGGTGCATTCTGATAGAAAAATGTTCATAATTTCAAGTTGCTGCATCTTGTATTTGTTTTTTTTAAAAAAAAAAAGTCCTGCAGGTAAAGGGCACCACCTCCACGCATTCAGTAGGGCTGAGAGCTGGGGCAAGATCTTTTTGCAGGAATTTGCAAGCTTTTAGCCATTGTTGGGTGAAATCTTGCTTTGGTGTCAGAAGAAACATCTCTGGATTATGATGTGGTGTTAAGTTTATGAACTCTTCAGTTTGCTGGAATAGCTTAGGGAGTGTTAGAGCCTAGATGCCTCTACTTCCACAACTTTAAAAAGAAAAGTTAATTCATAGGACTGCAAATGTCATCAAAGACAAACAGATTTCACTGAGGTTTTTAGACACTCCAAGCATGATCTCCTATGAAGAAAATTCCTTTTGCTGCATGAGTCAGATGCTTCTTGCTAATACAAACAAACCAGTTCATCTGCTGTGGTGGTTTAGATACCACTCATTTTTTTAGTACCTCTTTTTGGTAGAACTTAATCTGTGTTAACGCAACAAAGCATGATTCGATCCTTCTGGAATTACTGGTCTTGTTTAAAGAGTGATTTCACAGTGGAAGTGTGAGGTTTCTTGGGAGGACACACAGCCTGCTGAGTGGGGAGAAGAAGGAACTGGTGTGCTTTGGCAGGTATGATGGCACATGGTAGGGATGGTTCTTTCTCCCTCTCTCCTCTACAGGCCCAACGTACACAGGTGAACTCTGAGCTGTGTGTGGAGAAAGATCATCTACCTCTCCCTTCCCGTGACCTAAGTCAAGAAATTGTTTTTTAACTCTAGTGTTTGATTGCTATTCTAGGAAAAAGTCTTCTGGCAGACTGCTGGCAAGTGTCTAATTCACAAGTTTGAAGTGCCCTGTCAAGCTGGTAAAATGACAAACTCTTACCAGCCTGCCTGCGTGCAGTCCCTTTGTGTTCTTAGACCATCACAGCGTACACCAGGACTATTGCTAATCTCACTGCTGAGTCAAAAATACTCAGTGATGAAAGGAATATTATGTTTCAGGTGGAAACATGTAGTGCTTCTCTCTTTGCTTTTGGAACTTCTTTTTTCTTTCCAAAATCATCAAGCCCTCTCATGAAGGCAGAGTGCAGAAGCAAGAGTGCTATGCAGACTCTCAGGTGGAAACATGTAGTGCTTCTCTCTTTGCTTTTGGAACTTCTTTTTTCTTTCCAAAATCATCAATCTCAGAAGCAAGAGTGCTACGCAGACTCTCCTGATCATTTTCTTTAAAATCTACAGGTGGAACTGTTTTCAAATGGTGGTCATCTATGTAATGCCAAGTATTTTATTACCTGAGAGAAACTATTATAAAAGGCCTTGAACCCTAAGCGTTAGTTAACGCTAATATTAAATCTTGGTCATTTACTTGAAATTGATACCATTTTGCCGGGAGGGAGAGGGAAAGGAGCGAGGAATGGGAGTTATATTTTTTTTTCTAGTTGCTCTGACACTATTTTTCTTAAGCCTTGGTGAAGAGAGGGAGAAATCACAAGCTGCATTCAGCCCATTAGCTGTCATGTGCTTTTATATCTTGATGCATAAACACGCTGTGGCTTTCCCAGGCCTTGCTGTTGAAGAGCAGGGTTCTGCCTTCTGCCCTCTTCAGGGAGCTGGGATGGAGCCTGGCCGGGGGAAACTGGGTTCTCACTCTGCTGACAACTTACAGTGGTTATGTAGATGATGTGACCAGGGATAAGGCTGGTTGATCAAGTGAACCCTGCAGTTACTCTTGAGTAACAGGTAGAGGTGGGAGTTTAACTCCTTTTATCCCTAGATGGGATTCTCACTTATTATGACGTTTAGTTAATTTTTTTTTAGATTCTCTTTTCTTACATCCTGTCTCAAGAGTATGGATGCCCTGTATGCTGACAAAGTGCGTGGGAAGGTCTAGGTGCTGCATGGGGTGCCCTAGTTAAGAGATTTAATACTTCTGAAGTCCTATTGAGAGGTATGCCCCATTCCCCAAGAAACCTTTCGGTAGTGTAGTTAAAAAAACCAAACAACCCCTCCCCCCCACCAAATCCCAAAACTCCAAAGCAAAAAATGCGTGAACAAAACCTCACCTCCAGAATGTACTCTTGGGCAGTAGAAAAATCTCTGTTTTCATTGTGTATTCTAGCACTTACTGTGTTGCATTAGTCAGTTGGACATTGCATGTCTTTATTGCAATGCTCCTTCGTGTTTAAGCTTTTTTTCAACTGACTTATGACTTATTTGGACTTCCTTTTTAAGCTACAATAAAACTGCAAATTTGGGTAGCTTGGGGGAGTTGAATTTTTCATCATGTTATCTCAATACACGCATAGTATCTTATGGAAATGTTAACTATATAGAAAAATTTTCATAAAATTTTAACTTTGAATAAACTTGGTAGTATTCTTTTTCTGCTTTAAACTGTTTGTGAGGCTTATTCTATTTGTGCTAATATAGATGGTATATTGGGGACAGGGCCATGAATGTATTACTGAAGTATTAGAAGGTTTTGCTCTTGTGGTTTGGTTTTCTTCCATATTCTGAAATTTTACTTGCTCATATAACTTAAAGCGGATTCTAGTCTGAGTTCTCTGCTTATATGCGGAAACTTTGCTGTATGTTTTTGCAGAGGAGAGCCTGCAAACGTTCAGGTGGAATTGGTACAAGACCTAGAGAAATCCAGTCATCTTAGTGTTTATAAAGGCTCTTTCCTTGCTGGTGGATACTCCAGTGTTGATTGGAAGATTTTAAATAATGACTTATTGCTGTCTTGCTTTTGAACACTCGTCGTAGCATCCAGATATCCTAAACCACTGGTACCACTTGAGAAGCCGGCGAAGGAGGTAGTATCACCAGAGACAACCAGTACTTTTGGTACAGTAAAAAACAAACAAACAAAAAAGTGTGTTTGCTAAGACATGGCATTGCATAAGGCCAGCAGGCTGCTGGTTTGACAGACGTTCCGCTTGCTTGTTTTGACGCAGTTGGCATGTATTGCTACAAGAAATAAAAGTACACAGTTTTTGTTTATATTAATATAAAGCCTTCAGTCTCAAGAATTTCAGTGATACCTGTATCACTTCCTGGACTTAATGTGACTGAAGAAGTGTTTCAAGTCCTGATCTTGCAGAAACTCTCCTGAGCTGTACCATAGTTTCTAGATAATACTCGACCAGAGATTTCAGACTCTGAAACAGCTGCATTTACTTGAAGAAGCTCAGTGTCATCTACCTTATGCCTTTTTCTAGGAAAGTGCTGTGCATTAGATTACATGGTCCAAACATAATGCAGAAATAATATTACTGTTAAAAAATTACCATTATTTAGTTAGCTGCCTTTGCCCTTCACTGCAATTAATGTTTTAGAAAAGGTAAAATAGAAGATTGCTCCAATTAAAATTTGTTTTCCATCTTTTGCATGTGTTTAAGCATGTGATGTGTGCAAAATAGTTGTCATGCATGAACACTTTAAATCATGAGTTTAAAAAAAGAATCTAAACCTTGAGCCATTTTTCTTCAACTGTATGTGTCTTGTGTAAAAGAATATATTTTATAGTCATCAGGAGACAGATTTTTCCTTTTAGCTGTCTTGTCTGGTATGAGGGGTTCTTTTGATTTAGGTCTTTTTAGGAAACATCACTTGAAATGGAACTCTTACTTATAGTGCAACTTAAACTTTTCAGAGTGATAGATTAGAAATGCTTAGATCTCCATGTAATAGGCATGAATGAAATGGATCGTGTTTATTCTGTAAACAGAGGTATGTTTCAGTGTGTAATGGAAATTAAAAGATGGTGAAGTCTACCAGTCGCTCTAAGAAAGAAATTATTTAAAGCTTACTCATTCAACTGAAAACACTTAACTTTAGTCAGCCTTATTTGTTATTTAATCAATCCAAATACGGAACTACAGAGGCAGCTGGTGTCTCTAGCAGAAAATCTTTTCTAAAAAGAAAAAGTAAATGGAAAAATGAGATAAGCATATGATCCAAACAGAGTACTTAAGGAAGCTGTCTTGGATCTCCCTGGTGCTGTTTTTTGTTTTTGTTTTTTGCTGGTAAAGAAGTGTCTCAGACTAGGGAAAACTGGACTTGTGTGTGTGAGCTGTCTGGTGCTCCCTTCCCTCTTTCCTTCTCCTTAAATTAGCATGGTGTTATTTCAGTGAACATGAAAGCACATGTTCTTGCTTCCGTTTTGTTGCTGTGTGTGAGAACTTCCTTTAACATCGAACCTCCCCCTTGGAATTTTTGGGATGTTACTAACACATGCCTGAAATGAAACCCTTGCTTCCTCTGAAACATGGGGAGCTTTTTAAGGCAAAGCCCACAAAATACTGTTTTTAACCCAGCAGAGTGCACATTTCATTCAAAACTACAGGATATGAAATCAGCTGTTTTCTCCAGTGTTCATTTACTTTGGATTCTTAGATATTTGTATGTTAATTATTAGTAAAATATCCACCCTAGCAGCCATGATACATACTGATACTTGTTACTTGCTACACTTTTTTTGCTGCATCATTTGCTGGTTTCCATTTGTATGTGATGGGCTCATCGTATTCATTGCTTTTTGGGTATTCTTTGAAGTTTTTTAAATTTAATTTTGACAAACTGACATGCTTTAGCTTTTGGCAAATTCCAACAGGTCACTTTTTTAAACTTACACGTTTCTCTCTAGATAATAAAAAGAACAAATAGGAACATATTTAAAGACTACAATGTTATGTGTTTGGAGATGGGGCATATTCTGGCAACTCTCCTACTGTGTTAAAGCAGACATAAGGAGCAAGTGGCTTGTTTTATTCTCTCCTACTGTTTGTACCCAGGGATAAAACCTTTCCTCAACACGCTTGGTAAATACTTTGTAGCTTTTAGGATGTCAGATAGGAGCATGGGCATTTCCAGAATTAAAACTTGCCTTACTGTTTGGCAGTGATCCTGGTGAAAGGCTCCTGCATGACCTGGGGGAAGGACGAAGCCTTGAAAAATCTTTTTCATTTCAAAAAGAATGGGAAAGTTTGAGAGAAAAAGGCTTCTACAGTGAGGCCAACTTGAACTGAGAGGAGCCAGAGACATGGATGGAGATAGTCTGGGACCTGTTGGCTGGACACCAGCAGTTCTTTCAGAACTTCTGGGAAGCCTTTGGGTAGGGTTAGGAGGAGACACGGGACACGGTATGTGATTCTTGTCCATGCCAACAGAGGTCTTGGATGGAGATAGTCTGGGACCTGTTGGCTGGACACCAGCAGTTCTTTCAGAACTTCTGGGAAGCCTTTGGGTAGGGTTAGGAGGAGACACGGGACACGGTATGTGATTCTTGTCCATGCCATGGACAGAGGTCTGTCTGCTTCAGGATGTGTTATGTATGTAAAATTGTATTGCCACAAACCTCTGGTATTTTCTTCAGGTCCAGATGCTTACTGTGAACCAACAGGTAATTGTTGCATTTTGACCTGCTGCATTTTTCTTTTAGACATCATCAGTTTCTGGTTATTGTACTGTTAAAATAACTTTTTTGTTCACAGCTTTCAGTTATTTGCTCTTGATAGCTTTTGGCTCCATGCAGTGATCCGTCCCTTACTGCTGGCCAGTTCACTGTAACTCATCTTACACTGAGTGTGAATCATCAGTCTCTGTTAGGATATTATCCCATCTTTCATGGCAATCTGAATGGGTAGAAATTGTGTTTTATTGGCGTTGTTGGGTTTCGTGGAAGACTGGAGAGAGAAATGTGCATGGAACAAACCGATTTTTTTTTTTGTTTTTTTTTAGCCAGCTGCTCTCTTAAATACCATCAGCTTGTCTTTTCAGATTGCAAATAGCCTTTCAATCCAGCTATTTCTTTGCTTCATTAAGTCCTGGCAATGGACTGATTTTTACAAAGCACAAGTAAAGATGGGATGTTACAAATGTAAAATTAACTGTTTTGTTCAAGATGAAGAGATGTAAGAATTGCCAGCTGGATCCACAGCCATCTTGCCTAATAAATACAGATTTTTGCCAGAGAGAAGAGATGGGAAAGCAGCTTGAAATCCCACCCCCTCAACATCAGTTTTCCTATTACCTATTCTATTTTATTTCATGGAGTAAACTAAATAAAGCAAAGTAAATAGGTAGCGGCAAAAGTGGCAATGGTCTTATAATCAGCCTGGTGACCTTTTCCTCTTGAAAATGTCAGACAGACTTCCTGTGATTCTGTGTCACTCTCCCCGAACAGAAGGAACGTAACAAAGGGGTGTGTGTGTGTGGTTGTGATACAGCACAAATGGCCCGTGTCGAAGATGACTGGTTCCAGTGGGAAATATATGCGACTTGTTGTTTACTCATTTACTGGATCTGGTTTATCAGAAAGAAAAAAAACTCTTTGGATTTGTGATGTTTTCACTATTGGTTTACTTCTCCAGGTTGGATGATACGAACCTATCATATCAGCCTTGTTTCCAGATGCTGCTTATTTCAGTTTTTGCAGTTGGAGACTAATATGGCTGAGTTTTACTGTGACTTACGTCTGACCTTGTCTAAAAGCTCAGTTAACAACAAAAAAGCTCACTTTAATTATTCTTTCCCAGCCATGGAGGAAAAACATTCAGATGGCTTCCCCACTGTGGGATAAAAGCATGCACAGGTGAGCTGTGGATGAGTTGATGTGTAGTAAATGTGACTTGTCTGTATGGTGCGGATTTACTGTTGGCCTCACCCAGGTTGTGCAAAGGGAGTGTCCCATTCTCATCCGCCCTGCCCTGAAAACCTCTGGGTGTGCAAGTTCTGTTTCTCCTTTCCATGCTAGCACTGCCATTCTTCTCCAGGCCTGGCTGTACACCTGGATGAGCACAAGTGCTAGAATAAAGGAGGGAGTTTAGGAACAGGAAGAAAAGTATCGAATCACCCCTTGCAGCAGCAACATGACTTTAGATCACTTCAGGATGCAGTTTTGTATTTGACCTAAGGTTCTGCCTTTCCTGTTTTCTCATGGGAGGTGCCACGAGGGTTTTTGTGCCTCAGGTGGGAGTTTGTTCTGGGATCCCTCTGTGTCACTAACAGCACATTCAGTGACTTGCACTAGTAAGCAATACTCTTTCGATCCTCCAGGTTACTTTTTTAGTATTGTCAAGTACTTGCAATTATATTTGGGAGCATTTTTGACGTTAAAATTAATCTTGTGACTAGGTAGGGAGCTGTCTTTCTTCTCCCTTTCTCTATCCGGGATTATTCCTCCTGGGGTCACTGGCTTCCCCCCTGTATCACATGGCACTTTGCTTCAGCACTGCAAAAGGCATCCTTATCCTGAATCCGCCCCCTTCCTTGCTGCTGGAGAAGAGGCTGCGTAAACATTGCCCAGATTTTGGAGAAGGAGCTGAGAATGAGAGAGAGAAGGATGCTGGAGGCACACTGAAGTCAGCCCCCATCACACAGCATGAAAAAAAACTGTAGGAGCACAAATTTAGTTAAGGTCACCAGTAAATACTGGCGTTGCAGGTATGTCACTGATGCAGGCAATACACTAGTGCCACAGCATACTTTCCACTGCCAAGGGGAAAAGTATTAAATAGATTAGATTCCATACTTCCTCCCATGTAGAAAACAAAACAGGCTTATGTGTGCAGAAAACCTTGGACTCAGCTGTAGGTTTGTGTTTGTAATTTAATAATTCTCAAGCTGATTAGCGGAACTGGAGGTGGAACATGTAATTTCAGTGCTGACAGGAGTCTGCTGCACGCTCACAGTTGAAACTGTGACAAAGGAACAGGTAAAAAAAACTAGCAGTGGAAAAGGGAAAATGTGCAAAGTTCAAAAATGAAGACTGCTAAGTGGCGAAACCCAGTCTTTCATAAACTGGCATTGGGTAGTTTCATGGGAAGATGAAGCAACATTGGGAT